ATTGATCGAGACAGGCATTTTTTTTTGTCCAACTGTCTAATAAATGCTGTTTCCAGTACTGCACTGTGCGTGCAAATTATTTCAAAGTCTGGATGCTGGAGTATGCAATCTTGAATTCGTAGGGTGGCGGTTTTCATCCATGTATTCACGGGGCTGCGCTGGTAAATCATGGGACAATTGTCACAGGAACACCAAGCAGATTGTTCAAAGACTTCCGTGTAATTTGAAATAAAACTATCATTTGAACAAGGGGCATCGTCGACGATATACTCTCATCACTCACACTGGACTAATCTGAATCTTCACAGTATACCGTACTTCCCTGATCATAAGCCCGGAGGCATGAACACGTAAGGGAAAAGTAATGGATGGGCTTATACTCGAGGACCAACTCAGAAAAGATTATTTTGTTTTGGGGTTAAATACTGTAACCATCTTGCCAACAACGAACAATTATTCAAAAAAAGTATTCGTTCACCATGCCGGGCTCGGGAAAATAATACTTATTTTTGAAAAAAAATACGTCATTGATTTCCACGACACTTACAATGAAGAAACAAACATGTCCATAAAAAACGCACATATTTTATTACAATACGATTTACATACCGTCTGAATTTACGGTGAAATAATGGGTAGGGTCTGTGGGAAAACAGTCGAAGGCATTTATCATTATCTTCGTTTTGGTATATTTTCGATCGTACGCAAACTCTCGAGGCAAAGCAATTTTTCACCATGAGGTTTTTCAGCACGATTTGACCTGAAACAACTTCCTTTGACCTAACAGGTCATGTCTTTCATTAACCAACCAAAATGATGTGTCGTAATGATGAATTTTTCCGATTATTGATGATGATTTTTTAACGCAATGCAGAAGTGAATTACCGCAATGTTAAATGGATCTGTAGCACTGATTGCAACGAAAAAACAATGATTGTGGCGATCCACAATTTCCGAAAAGTAAACGACGGTTAGTAGTAACCGTGGGTAAACTGATTGTGGAGGAAGAATTTAAACACCTTTCACGGTCGCCAACATGTCACATCGTTCAAACCCTAGGCCTTTCATGATAGCCTCAAAGTAACCGGGGGCTGAGTAAACCATGCCCAATAACCAGATACACGACTTAACGATCACATTTTTGGCTTTTCGAACGCTACTACTCAAATAAATATGGATTACTTCAGTATTGCAACATCGGGGTTCATCCTTAGTAAATGAAAGAATAGAAATGATGCGAACCACGTTGTGTACGTTCGCCATGCACTCTGAAATTAATGCGAGTTTTATCATAAAAGCACAGACCAAACTTACAATCGGGGAAGTACGGTACTTTAACGCAATTGGGCTTCCACTCTCAGAATACTGTGGTTCAAACGCATAATGCTCTAACCCAAGTTCTAAAAAGCACATTGTGCATATAATAGTTGAGTTTATACTAGTAGTACACAATGCTTGGCAGCATGAACGGGGCATGAACAGCTGTGTACAATGGCGTATACAAATGTGATCAGATACTAAAACGTCATAGCTTTGAAAAGTACCTGGATGTTAGATATGTTCGTTCGTTATTTATTCCCCTCCATGAACGGCCTCCATGGTGTTTAATTGCAGGCACTTCAAATGCCTATCCAAGCTACAGTTATAATTAAAACAAAATTAAACCACTGCAATATTATTTCAAATACAGTTTAGAATATACACAACTATAAATTAAGGCCGCAATCAGGTTCGCTTTAAGAGATCCTTCAACTATTGGTCACAATGTAAAACTTGGACTCCTGTGATGCTGATTGCAGTTTTAATTGTTCTTGTTGTTTTTTAAACGCTTGTCTCTTGTGATTGCAAAAACTCAATTAAATAATAACTTTATTACACAACCAAAACCATCAGGGGACAAATAGAAAAATAAAGTATACATACTAAACTGACATTGCATATAAAGACATGTCATAGGGGTTAACTG